AAAGTAACACATTTATATAGGAGACTTAGAAAATACAGAACAAAGTTATATATAGTCCACTATACATTACAATTATTTTTTTAAGTAGATCAATTAAGATTTTTAGTTGGCGTTTCCTTATCAGACCCTCAAAAATTTATAAAATGAATAGAAAAGTAGAAGGATATAGTAGACCTGAGAAACACTATGAATCAATTCAACATAATTAAGTTTTATACAATTTTCACACAATAGCAGGATACAAATTCTATTTAAGTTCCCATAAACTATAAACCCAGAGACACTGGAACATATCGAGGGACATAAAACAAGGTGTAAAAATTTCATGGTCTAAAGGTAACTGAAGTCATACAGTGTCTGTTCTCTTATCACTGTGGAATTACGTTAGAAATCAATATCAAAAGGTACTTGAAAGTAGTCCACATATTTTTAAGTGCAATGTGTCGTTTACCAAGAGAGATCTTTAACTTAGCCATTGAAAGCCTCAGTAAAAATAAAAGACTGAAAGAACAGAGGGTGATCAGCTGTGGAATTTAGAAGAATAATATCTTTTTAAGAATTCCATGTAAAGGACCTTGCACAGTGCCTGAAAAATAGTGTATACTTTAGAGATCACTACATATTCTGGCTGCCTTTTAGAATCTGGCTGTTAATTTACTTTCTGAAAAATATAGAAAAAAATCCTTGGGAAGACAAATATTCTCAGAAGTGGTAGGGAAATGATTGTGAGTCATTGATCTTTGAAGTTTTAACTTTTCCTGTCTACACAAAACGTATAACAGTCAGATTTCCCCAACCAGTTAGTCCTGATTGTATGTGTCAGAAGCCTCTTCTAACCTTTGATTGTATGTTTTCTGTAGTTCTTTAAAATAATTTAAAAATATTGGGGGACTTAATATAAGCAGTAAGTTACTATATTGATAAGTTTGATTATTTTAAACTAATAATAATAGAACTTATATGTGGATTGTTTTGTAGGGCCTGGATGTCTTGGAAATTATGAGAAACATTCATATATTTGTATCTCGATACCTCTATAATCTCAATAATCAAGTGAGTAAGTTTAAAAAAAAATTTTTAATGTGGGTGTGTGTATAGTAGGAAAGGCTGAGGGGCAAAGGATTGATTCTTAGCAGTGAAAGTTAGTAAAATAAAGGAAACAATGATTGTTTAGAGATCTTGTTTATTTCTTTGCTTTGACTGTATTATCTTCTTGAATGACTTTCCAATTATCTCTAATAAAATAGAGTTCTTAAATTCTTAGGTTAACTGACCAGTGTTTGCTATGGATTGTGTTTGTTTTATTACAGATTTTTATTGAGCGAACAAGTAATAACAAACATTTGAACACTATTAATATTCGGCATATTGCTAATTCAATTCGAACACACGGCACAGGAATCATGAATACAACAGTAAGAAGCTTCTGGGAGGGGGCGTGGTACAGATGTTTGATGCTGCTGTTTCGTTTGGAAGTTAAAAAATAGTTTTTTCATTGAATATTCTGATAAATACACATTATTACCTGTTCATAATACCTGAATTTCCATTTCTCTGGTGTAATTGAAATATCTGGCACTGAAGTTGTGTTAGATGGAAATGGAAGCTTTGTGATTCAAAAGGCACTTTAGAATGTCTTACCATCTCAAGATCATCATCATGAATAACATTGGAGATTTGAAGACATCAGCATAAATACGTATCTATGTGGATTGTCTGATGGTCTGAAAGTTGCTTTTGGAAGCAAATCATTGACAGTTTGTTTACCATCAGTCCCTGCTGGCTGTGCCACCAGGCAGAGTCTGCCTGCGATGCAGGAGACCCAGGTTTGATCCCTGGGTTGGGAAGAGCCCCTGGAGAAGGGAATGGCACCCCACTCCAGTATTCTCACCTGGAGAAGTCTATGGACAGAGAAGCCTGGAGGGCTACAGTCCATAGGGTCGCAAAGAGTCAGACATGACTGAGCCACTAACACTTTACACTTACATGCTCTTTTTTGGGGGAGGGCACTTACTAGTTATTGATACCCTTAAAAATAGCAATTTGCTAAAAATATCTCAAATCTTCCTAAAAATGGGCAGTCATGTGAGAGAATGAATCATTTGAGCTTATATGCTATTTGTCCTCTGGGAAAAAGAGAAATCTTTAAATTTACCTGCTTTTCAGGTCACAGTTTCTCCTTGAGGAAAGAATAATGCGAATGTTTAAATAGTACGATCTTATTAAGCGTATTTGGGAATAAGGGAATAAGGAAAAGTTACGTGACTGGAAGGTTATAAAGGACCATTTTTAGTGTAGTGGAGAAGCTGTATTTGACCTGATAAGTAATATGGTTGGAGCTCTTTGTTAGTGGTTACCAGGAGAAAAAGGAGACATGGATGGAGTTTCAGATTTCAAGTCAGGAATCATCTGCATAGAGATTTCTGAACCTTTCAGGATCAAACTCCTCTGACCTCATCTATCAACCATTCATGTAACAAATGTAATTATGCTTGTATTTTATGTGTCTCAGGCACTGTGCTAGGTGCTGAGATGAGAAAAACAGACATTTCTTGCTCTCATAGTAATTGTACTCTGGCGGGAGAAACAGCTGTTACGCAGTTAACCACACTAATAAATGTAAATTCCTGATGTCTGGTGATGGTGAGCTGAGCACAGAAAACATCAGAGACTGGCAGATTTACCCACTATTAAGATGGGTAATAATCTTCTAAGAACTACTACAACTGAGGAGATCACGAAAAAGCAGTGTTTTAAGCTGCAAGAAAAGTTCTGAGAAAGCACCCATTTCCATAACTGGGTGATGAAGACTATTAACATGGGCACACATATGCTAAAATAATTGGTAATATTTGAAGGTGGTGGGGATGGAAATTAATGCAAGGCTTTCATCTGAGGGTCAGAATTAATCTTGTTTTGACTTTAAGTTCAGCTTAAATCCTACTTTTTCAATGTTTTCTAAGTCTAGATCAGGGCCTTTTAATCCATTCTCAAAACACCTGCACTTCTCATTTTACAGGTTATTGCAGTTGAGATTTCCTAGTTTATTTAACATATATTATACTTGTCTTAAAATGCCTGTCACTCCCACTAGAATACACTTGATGATGACAAGGGCAATGTCTAGCATGAGAGCAGGTGCGTTGTCTTGCACATAAGAGGTGCTTAAAATATTTATGGGTAAATGATTGAATGTTTACTATCTTCCTTTAGGAAAGGTCAAAGAGCACCGTGTTTTTTACTTTAGTATCAGTTCATTCATGTGCATTGGTAATAATCTCCCGAGTGTGGTTTATGACATAAAACCTAGCGTGTTAGCAAATCTGGTTTATGATTCTCACTATAGATCTTAGTCATATTATTATGTGACTATATTTTCTGTTTTTAAATTTCTTTTTTTGTGTCATAAAAATATTTAAGAGGAGCTTTTAGAAAGTTTTATAAACTTTGGCAATAAAAACTTCATTTATTTAAGTATTTCAGGTCCAAAATGAATTAGACTTTATAAATGGATTATTTTATTTAGTACTACTGATTTGAAATTAAGTTTTATATTTAATTGTTCCAATTTTAATTTTATAGGTCAATTTCACCTACCAGTTTTTGAAAAAGAAGTTCTATATATTTAGCCAATTTATGTATGATGAACATATCAAATCCAGATTGATTAAAGATATTCGGTTTTTCAGGGAAATCAAGGACCAGAATGATCATAAGGTATTGTTACATATTCTTCTGAAAAGGTAGTTTGATTCAACTGTTGAATATATTGGCATCCCTTACATTGCTGCGCTTAACTTCATTGTGCTTCGCAGGTACTGTATTTTTTAACAAATGGAAGGTTTGTGGCAGACCTGCATTTTCAGATGCTGCTTATCTTTTTTTAGCAGCAAAGTATTTTTAAATTAAGGCATGTACATTATTTTTTTGTATGTAATGCTATTGAATACTTAATAGACTACAGTACAGTGAAAACATACTGTTGTATTACACTGAGAAATCAAAAAACTAATGTGATTCACTTTATTGCAATATTTGCCTTGTTCCAGGGTCTTGAACCAAACCTTCAATAACTTCAGTGTTTGCCTATATAGCAAATGTTTATGCTGAAATTCATTATGAGTTACTCTACTAGGGATTTCTTTTTCTTTTTCACATAACTCCCTAGTTTGACTTCCAGTTATCTGTATTTTCTCTTGTAATTTCTTACCCTTTGCAATCTCTGTAAGTGAAAGTGTAAGGAAAAAGTAAATGATGAATGTAACCAGATACTACTTTTCTTCATTTTAAAATAATGCAAGAGCAGAAACATTTAAACAATGTATTGTTTAACATTTAAACTAAATGTTCTGCTTCATTTCTGTTTTCTCCCAATTCCATTTTCTGGGGCCAGTTGCTATTAACAGTGTCATGTGACGTCTTCCAGATGTCTGTGTGATAAACATGTATTTGTGCATTACAAATACTGCTTTTTTCCTTAACAAAAATGGGCTGATACTAAGCATACTGTTTTGCAGTGTGCTTATCATGTGTCAGTACCCATAGATCTACCTTGTTCTTTTGCAGAGTTGATAGTAAAGATGCATGCTGTAAGTCCTTTAACCTCCTACTGAGAAGTAGTTATTCAGTAGCTTCTGATTTCTCTGTGCCATAAACAGTGCTACAGATAACATCCTCGCATATTTATTTCTGTGTGTTAGGGACTTTTGAAAGACAGATTCCTTGAAGAGGAAAAGGGCAAAGAATCTGATTATTTAAAATTTTGATACATGTTGCCAAGTACTGTAAAAATACTGCACCACTTGACAATCCCACCAGTAATTTATAAGAATGCTGTTTTACTTTCGCCCTCTGGACTGAATTTTCCCGTAGTGAAGTGAAGAATTATAAGTGTTAACAGTACAGAGGCACGTATAGCCATGTAGGTAGAGAAACCAGCAGGCTTGGATGGATTTTATGTTTGATTTGCCACATCCAGACCTGTTTTTATTACTCTTCTTAAGCATCACCTAGTTCTAGCCCTCTTATATATTAGTTGTTCATTCTTTTCAGTGTCAGAGCGGCAAAATAATTAATAAAATTACATATTAGTTATCAGGAAATTACATTAACTCATTTTTATTGAATCAGAAATTAATGTTCAGAGAAATGGTGCTGTTGTTGTATAAGAATTGTTTCCATTTGTTACTCGTATAAAATGAATGATTTAAAAATTTTTTTAATTGACTAAGACTTGAAAAACCATTTTTTATCGGTGACAGCAGCTAGAAATTTTAGTTCAGCTGATGTGTGTTATTTGGGAAGGAGTGTGTTTTTATGTAAGCCCCTAATACCTTTCAGCCCATGGAAACTTATCACAAATCTCTGAACAGATGTTTCTAGGAAGAATTGATTTCTTTTATCTATCTGATAGAGCAGTTGGAAGACCAGTGTTGGTAATGGGAAACCTGTTTGGTGGTGTTCATAATTATTCCCTTTAATATAAAAATATTTAATTTATATTGACCTTGAATATTGGTAGTTTTCATGCTGTATGTGAATTCTTTGTCATTAAATTCAGTAATTGTTATTTTGAACACAATGGAAGTGCAAAATTAGAACAGTGATATTGGTATGATTGATTTGGTGGGTATTTTGTGTTTTAGGGTCTTTATTAATAATGGCAGTCTTCAAATTTTCTCTGTAGTATCCTTTTGAAAGAGCAGAAAAATTCAATCGAGGCATCAGAAAACTTGGAATAACCCCAGAGGGACAAAGCTACCTTGATCAGTTCAGGCAGCTTATCAGCCAAATTGGTAAGTTATTGTAAACATGTTGAAAAGTAAAGTACAAATGCCAAGAATCTGTCTGATATATTGTAAATATCTCATAGGAATAAACTTAATATATGTGTGCCTAAGCTTAGTTTTATTCCACTAGTAATTTCCTTTCCTTACCCAAAGTTTTTCAAGTATGATTAGATGGTTGGTGCACAAATAATTGATAGATAAATAAAATATTTATAGATAAGATAGTATAAATAAATATTTTGTGGAAAAGTAAAACCTCTTCAATTAAATTAAAAATATAACTAACTCATCTCAAAGGTCATACTCAGTAAATAGTCAGCTGGTAATTATTGGGTGCCTATTCTTTTCAAGGTCCTAGTTCAAACTTTTAAAAGAGGTTCCCTTAAGTTAAGCCTAAATGCAAAGATGTGCAGTGTTTATGTGAAAAGTTATTCAATAATATTTAATATTTAATTATTAATATTATTAACATTAATATTTATGATTAATATTTAAAATATTAAATATTTAATAATATGCTTTGTCATTTTATATTTATATATAATTTCTTGAGTTGTCCTTCTGCCTTATAAGTAGAACTTGTTTTCTGAAATGTGTAACACTATTTAAAAGGAAGAACTTTGCTTAAAAATAATCCATTCACTTAAAAATAATCCAAGATTAAAAAAACTGTATTCTTGTTTGAGCTTTTCATATACATTCCCTTTATTAATGTCCTCACGGTAACCCTTGAGATAGGCATGTAATCATCTTTTTAAAGATGAAAAAAGAGAAACTCAGAAATAAGTGGTGTTGCTGGGATTTTAACCAGGGTTTTTCAGCTCCAAGTCCAAAGATGTTTCGTATTCTTCACGGTTGCAGACTGCAAGCAGTTCAGTCAATTCTTATTGACTCTGAAACTGAAACTGTTAGTTGCTCAGTCGTGTCTGACTCTTTGTGACCCCATGGACAGTAGCCCACCAGTATCCTCTGTCCCTGGGACTCTCCAGACAAGAATACTGGAGTGGGTTGCCATTTTCTTCTCCGGGGGCTCTTCCCGATCCAGGACTCAAACCTGGGCTGTAGGCACTGCAGGCAGTCTCTTTACCGCCGACCCGCTGGGGCCCGTTAGTGACTCTGGTTTGGTAAAGTTTGGCCTCCTGAGGTTCACTGATTCATTCATCAAACATTTATAGAGGCTTTGTTACACCAAATATTTTCCCCAATGCTGAGANTGCAGGCAGTCTCTTTACCGCCGACCCGCTGGGGCCCGTTAGTGACTCTGGTTTGGTAAAGTTTGGCCTCCTGAGGTTCACTGATTCATTCATCAAACATTTATAGAGGCTTTGTTACACCAAATATTTTCCCCAATGCTGAGAATACAAATAGCCTTTGTTCTCAAGAGGCTTTTAAGTTTACCAGTGAGAAAGGTATGATAAACATTTAGTTAGGGAATAAAGTCAGCACTAGCTAAATTGTATAGATTAATTGGTTTACACATTAAAACTTTCTATTTTGTATTAGTACAAGAACTTAGAGAATTTTACCTTTGTAAATTTTTAATTTTAAGCAATTTAATAGTGAGGTACTAATAGTGAGGTATTGTTTTATTCATAGTGATATTTAATGTCATATTGGATTATAAATTTATGGAGCAATAGTTTTTAACCCTTTTTGAGAATCTGATGAAAATACTGAATTGATTTTCCTCAGAATAATGCCCCATGCATGTTCACATATAATTTTGCATAAGATATACCAGAGGTCAGATGCCCAAAGCGAGAGTCCATGGTACTCAAATTAAGAGCTGTTTCTTCAGAGCAGTGTTGCTTAAAACTTTAAAATCCACACACCAATAAGGTTTTCCCCTTGTGAATACTGCTTGTGGTAGTACTTATTTCATGTTTTTATATTTTCTAAAAGTACAGTTTTGTACTATGAAATAATCATTAATTCATGAGCTTAGGACGCTAGTCATTTTTCCCCAACATACATCAAAATACACATTTTCCCCCAGTACACAAAAGATCATGTTATCTCTGCCCCTGGCATGTATTGCACAGTTGGTGAATATTATCCTTTTCAGTTTGTTCTAGTATTTTATTCTTTATTCTTTTCTTAGGAAATATAAGTTCTTTACCTCTGCCTGTAAAAATTGTAGTGTGCTTTTGAGCCTGTTAACTCTGCTGAGAAAAGGAGTAAGGAATCTAGAGCTAGGAGCAAAATGAGAAGTCTTTTTGTCTAATAACCTGCCTGCTGAATGAATAATCACCACCATTAACATTTATTGAGCATTCATAAGGTTTTCCCCTTGTGAATACTGCTTGTGGTAGTACTTATTTCATGTTTTTATATTTTCTAAAAGTACAGTTTTGTACTATGAAATAATCATTAATTCATGAGCTTAGGACGCTAGTCATTTTTCCCCAGCATACATCAAAATACACATTTTCCCCCAGTACACAAAAGATCATGTTATCTCCGCCCCTGGCATGTATTGCACAGTTGGTGAATATTATCCTTTTCAGTTTGTTCTAGTATTTTATTCTTTATTTTTTTCTTAGGAAATATAAGTTCTTTACCTCTGCCTGTAAAAATTGTAATGTGCTTTTGAGCCTGTTAACTCTGCTGAGAAAAGGAGTAAGGAATCTAGAGCTAGGAGCAAAATGAGAAGTCTTTTTGTCTAATAACCTGCCTGCTGAATGAATAATCACCACCATTAACATTTATTGAGCATTCATTATGTGCCAAAGTTATTCTGAGTGCTTTATATGTTCTAACACATGTAAAACTCAATGCTAAGAAGTAAGTATTATATTCATTGATTCCACATATTTATTGAGGACAGTACAGTATTTCTAGGTGCTGGTAATATCTATGACAGTAAACCCAGTATTTAACCCTTTGTAGCTTAATTTAACAAATGGAGAGACTAAGATACAAAGTTTATAACTTAACCTAGGTTTTGTAGCCAAAAAGCAGAGTTCAGATTTGAACCCAGTAGTCTAGCTTCACAGATTTACTCTTTACTGCTGCTCCCTATCTGCTTCTCACTAGCATATTTTGATCAGCCAGTTTGGAGGAAAACAGTTCGACAATTTGAAGGAAAACAATCAAACTAGATACCTCATTTTTCTAAGATGCATGTTAAAGAAGCATTTAAACATCATTTCTTATATTGGGATAAGCGTTGGATTCAGTGATACCTAATTGAGTCAAGGTTTTTAAAGATATCAGATGAGATAATGTCTGTTAAGTGCATAATTATTATAATATATGAAGTGTTGACTGCTTCTTAACTTTTTGTCTGTTCTTACAAGTATTTCCATTTCATTTGAGTAGGAAATGTTGGCTTTAGGGGTGAAGCAGTGAAGAAAACAAAAGGTATATCATAGATCTTACATTCTAGTGGGGGCAGATACAGACAACAAGATATGTATCAGCAATAGGTGCTGAGTAAGGTGACATATCATTAAACGCTTAATGATTTTAAATGATATTCAGGAAATGATATAGTTTAATGATATTTAGGGAGAGCTCTAAGTAGGTGATATGAGAGCAGGAACCTAAAAAACACGAAGGAATAAGCCGTGTGCGTGCGTGGCTAAGGAAAGAGTTTACCAGGAAGAGGTGGCGGCAAATGCTGAAGTCCCGAGTCTGCCTAGCAGTTTTGGAAACCAGTCGGGCTGGAATGGAGTTAGAAACAGATCAGGAAACCATTGCATAGTGTAGTATCCTAGGCAAGAACTGCCGGTGGTTTGGAGTAGGGTGAGAGCTGTGAGGGTCAGGAAAACTGGTTGAATTCTGGTGACATTTTGAAGATAGAGCCAGTGTAATTTGCCATTGATTAAAGTATGAGGGAAAGGAGGGCTTCCCTGGTGGTCAGTGGTAAAGAATCCTTCTGCCAATGCAGGAGATGCAGGTTTGATCCACAGGAAGAATCCCCTGGAGAAGGAAATGGCAGCCCACTCCAGTATCCTTGCCTGGGGAATCCCATGGACAGAGGCGCTTGGCGAGCTCCAGCCCATGGGGCCCCAGGGAGTGGGCACTACTACCTAAACTAAACAACGACATTGAGGGTAAGGAGGGCGGCAGAGAGGACTTCCCTGTGTTTGGCCTGAGCCACTGGAAGGATAGATTTGTCAGCTTCTGAGGGAGAAAATATAACTGGGGGGTGAAGACCTTCAGTTGGAGTTCAACTTCTTAAATTAAAAATTCTTCTTAGACATGGAGGTGTAGGCATTGGATAAAAAAAAGCCCAGAGGAATAGTCTTAGTTGGAGATACTAGTTTGGGAGGAATCAAATAAGGATTTCTTGATACCACTTGGAGCTGTGTGTGTGTGTGTGTGTGTGAGAGAGAGAGAGACAGCCATATTATTTAATGTGAGTGAAGAAGCTGTTGGTAACAGTAATTTTTAAATGTTTGATTTTTTAAAATGTGCTCAATTTAATGCATTTATCAATTGAAACACACTTATTTTTAAAATATTTAATATAGATGGTGTAAGTTTATGTACATTTATATTCAAAGAGTTGGACACTAGTGACTGAGCAACAATATTTTAAGTGCACAAATATGTAAGTTTTATTTTTGTGGAACAAAACTGAAGTAAAATACAGCAAAATCTCTTGGTACTTATGAGTTGAAACCTTGTAATTGAATGCTATATATAATTTTATTTCTGATTATTAGAACTTAGAGTTATTTGTATAAACATCTGATTTTTGTGTGTGTATGTGGTTTTTAAGGTAATGCTATGGGCTATGTACGAATGATAAGATCTGGTGGCCTTCATTGTAGCAGCAATGCCATTAGGTATGGATGTAAACATTTTTGCCTTATTTATGCCATGTAGAAATTTTATGTCATTTAAATCTGTCTTTATTGTAAGTAATATTGTAGAAGGGGCTTTTTTCTCTTCTTACTGATATATTTTGAGATCAGATATGGAAGAAAACCATTAATCCTACTACTTAAATATTTTTCTCAAATTTTAAGACTATAGCAGACTTGAAAATCTGTATTTTTTGAAGTTGATTTCTTTTATCAGTGCAGTTTGAAATGTTCTATAGATTACATAATTTTTAAAGATTATAATTTGATGATTATATGTAAATAATTAAAAATGCTGAAGTTGAGTTTTGGAACTCAATTGTTCCAAATATAAGTGGTGATATTAATAATATAACTGAAATGCAAAGTTCTTTCCAAAGATATTGTTGAAAAATTTAGTCTTACAGTACTGCTTTTATGTCTGTCAATTTCATATATTTAACTTGCTTTAATAAATGCCTTCCAAAATTCTTATGTAGATTTGTACCTGATCTTGAAGATATTGTAAATTTTGAAGAACTAGTCAAAGAAGAAGGTCTTGCAGAAGAAACATTAAAAGCAGCAAGGTAATCTAATCTTGGGAAAAAAGTTAAATTTGGATATTTTAAAAATGTATATTCATTTAAACATTAAAGACTAGAGGATAACATATAAACTGATATTTCATTGTTTTTATTATGCAAATAATGGTCTGTTTATGGAATATAATTTTTTTAAGACTACAGTATTCTGAGATCTTTCCAGTGTCACTAAAAGGGATCTTTTAGATGGTGCCCTCAAATACATGTGACTGTTCAACACTTGACATGTGGTTAGTCTATATTGAAATGTGCTGAAGTATAAAGTTCATAACTAATTTTGAGGATTTAGTGTTTAAAAAAGAATGCCAAATATCTCATCAACAAAATTGGGACTTCCCTGGTGGCCCAGTGGCTAGGACTTCTCGCTCTCAATGCAGAGGACCTGAGTTCTATCCCTGGTCAGGAAACTAGATCCCACAAGCCCTGCAACTCAGAGTTCTTGTGTTCCAGCTTAAAACTGGATGCAGCCAAATAATTTTTAAAAAGTAGAAATTAAAAAAAAAAATCTCATTAACAAAATTCATTTCACCTATCTTAAAAAAATAATTGTATTTACTTACTTATCTTTGGCTGTGCTGGGTCTTTGTTGCTGCGTGGGCTTCTCTGTTTGTGGCGGGTGAGGGCTGCTCCAGTGTGGTGCATGGACTTCTCACTGCGGGGCCCCTGTCGCGGCTCCCGGGCTCCGGAGCACAGGCCCAGTAGTTGCAGCACATGGGCTCAGTTGCTCCACGGCGCGTGGGGTCTTCCCGAATCATACATTAAACCCATGTCTCCTGCCTTGACAAGTGGCTTCTTTGCCACTGAGCCACCAGAGAAGCCCCTTACCTATTTCCTTCTACTCTTTTTTAATATTCCTCTTTGCCAGCATGGCTCTAGAATACTGGTCCATCCTTTTATGTAACCTGGAGCAGTAGTTTCCAGTACAGTGGCCACTACCAATTGTAGCTGTTGAACACTGGAAATAGGGCTAAGGGACTAAGGAACTGAAATCAAATCTTTATTTCATTTAAATTTAAATAGCTAATGACAGTCCTATTGAACAGTGCAGATGTATAGACTTTTAACTAGTGATTTTGGAACACACTTTAAAACTTGAAAAGGCATGCAGAATTGTTAAGCAAGTATTTAGAAAATGGGGTTTTCTTACTAATAACTGTAACAGTTATTGAGTCAGGCATGAAGGGGCACCCTTGGACAAAGTGGAAACAATTTGAATATCAAAAAGAATAATGGTAGAAATTGATTATAATACTGAATTTAAGAAGAATCTGTGATGATACAGTGATAATAAAAGTTGGAGAGACAGAGGGAAAGTTCCTTTTTACAGTGCTTGCCAGCTAGTAAATATGAAAGGGATGAGAAAATTTAGGGAAAAAACCAGTTTTGCAACTACCACTGTAGTACTTGACATCAGACAAAAATCATCAATGAATTCTCAAACATTTTTGGAGAACAGAATGTTCAGTGTGAAAACATTGTCTCACAAATTGATTATTAATCATAAAGGGGAAAAAGCCACCTTCCCAATGGAGAGACTGATGTATCCTCCTTACATGCTGACATAGGGCCCCCTGATGCAGTGTGATGGCAAGTACCTGTGTTGTGCTCTTGCCTTAATGTTTACTTGTCAAGTGAAGCAAAGTTTATGGCAGGTGATGTCAGGGAGTTAGGAGGTTATGATAATAAATTGATTCTCTAAATGGACATTAATGTCTTCTGCCACAGGTATCATAGTTGAAGATAAATGGAAGGGCAGTGGTTAAAATGGTTAATAGATGCCTGCTTTCCGGAGGTAGGGGTTGGATAGTTGGACATAGTTGGGTCACATGCATCTCAAAGGAGAGATTTCTACCATTTATTGGTGGAGGAATAGTAATTTGAAAGTGATAATGGCCATACATAAGGATGTAGAAGCAGCAGCTAATGTTTCTGAAGGTTGACTCAGTGAATGAGTGAAAGTCGCTCAGTCATGTCTGACTCTTTACAACCTCACGGACTATAGAGTCCATGGAATTCTCCAGGCCAGAATACTGAAGTGGGTAGCCTTTCGCTTCTCCAGGGGATCTTCTCAACCCAGGGATCAAACCCAGGTCTCCCATGTTGCAGACAGATTCTTTACTGGCTGAGCCACAGGGGAAGGCCAAGAATACTGGAGTGCATAGCCTGTCCCTTCTCCAGGGGATCTTCCTGACCTAGGAATCGAACCAGGGTCTCCTGCATTGCAGGCTGATTCTTTACCAACTGAGCTATGAGGGAAGCCTGAAGTTTGAGTGAGAAACTAGATTCTTGAAAAGGAGATCGGTTACAGTTGAAGTCAGGAAGTGTAGAAGTGTTAGTGAAGAAAGTTAAGATGAAAAGGAATTTATTTACAATGAAATGGACTTCTGCAGGGTTCATTTTGAGAAGAAATACAAAACTAAAATTTCAAGAGGCACTACATATTCTGTTTTAGGGACTAAGTTAATTAAACAATGATAAGCTTCTGTCCATTAAAAAAAAAGTTCATCCTGTACTCCAAGGTTGTTTAGAGATGTCTTATAGTAATTCATATTTTTGAGTGCTTTCATCTAAACTAATGAGAGATAGATTTTAAAAGCTTCCTCTTTATTTGAGAAAGGAACCAAATAAATACTTTTTTTCTTTTTCTTTTTTTTTTGCATTTTAGGCACTTGGATTCAGTCCTCAGTGATCACACACGAAATTCTGCTGAAGGCACAGAATATTTCAAAATGCTTGTGGATGTTTTTGCTCCAGAATTTCGAAGGCCAAAGAATATACATCTCCGAAATTTCTATATCATTGTTCCCCCTCTGGTGAGTATTTTTAATACCCAAAATGAATTTTTTGAAGAGTTAATAAATCGATCCAGTTTTTTTACAGCAAGAAATGCACGCAGAAGCAGACTGTACTGCTGACTTTTTGGTTGTAGATAAAACTAAATGTGGTCTCAGTGAATGTGGCCTAGAATTTTCACTTACTGGCTATGCAGAATGAGACTTCTTTATAACTAAGATAGATTCTCATTAGTTAATAACTGCCAGAGGAATCCTAGTGTGATTTAAATGACTTGAGTATACTCCATTTTATATATATACCATGTAATCTTTGGACTGAATTATATAGTCATTTTAAGTGATTAATATAGACTGTTAAAATATGAAGTGTTTCTTAAAAGCATGCTATTTAAAGGGACTTCCCAGATGGTGCTAATGGTAAAAAACCACAGACGGAGCCTGGCAGGCTACAGACCATTGGTCGCAAAGAGTTGGACATGACTGAAGCAACTTAGCATGGCATAGCATATCTCTAGTCAGTAGTAAATGTTAGCATCTAAACTAAATTTTTTTTTTATCATATATAGCGTGTGCTGCTCTAATTCTGTAGTTGACATCTTAAAAATAACCACAATTGCAGTATGAAAACAGTTATTACAGTGAGGAAAATGGAGTTAAGAGATTAGAGAGGTATATATTAGGAAAAAGAGTTATTCTGCTCTAAAGGTTTCTTTAACAAAGCTCTTTTAAAAAATTGTAAAAGAATAGCTGTAAAGTCTAAATATCACTGAGCAGATGTAACTTCTGATCACATCTAACTTTGATCAAGAGTACTGACTTTTTTCACGTTGCGCCTGAATTAACACATGTATTCTCACCTACTACTGTTAGTTGCTCAGTCGTATTCAGCGCTTTGCAGCCCCATGGACTTTCGCCCGCCAGGCTCCTCTGTCCATGGGATTCTCCAGGCAAGAATACTGGAGTGGGTAACCATTCCTTCCTCCAGGGAATCTCCCTGACCCAGGCATTGAACCGGGGTCTCACACATTGCAGGCAGATTCCTTACAGTCTAAGCCATCAGGGAAACCCGAAAGTGAAAGTGTTAGTCGCTCAGTCATGTCCAACTCTTTGCGGACTGTAGTCTGCCAACTTAGAACCATTATTATGAATTCAAAGTATCTGATGGGTACGGATAACTTTTTTCTTCATGCATTTTCCTTTCTGTTGTTTCTTTTTTAAATACATTTACTGTTAATACTGTCATAATAATTGTTATACCATGTAGCAAAAATGTCCATATTTGTCTGATAAGCATTATCTTTTCATATTCAGATAGTTGTGAGACTGGAGGCAAATCTTAGTTATATTTCAGTAATAATGTAGTTAACTCACGGTGAGTTCTCACCATCTTTCTTTAATTTGAAGCCATAGTAAACAGCAGTGAGGAACCATTTGTGGGTCTGAGGAAGAGTGGAATTTTGCAGGGCAGCTGTCAAAATTCAGTTAGTGATGGAGAAAACAGGTGGGTTAAGAACACTACAAAGAAGAAAAGTATGGGACACTATTGTTTTTCTTGAGTTTTAATCTAATTTCAGAAAAAAGCATGAAATATCTAAGGAAGAAATCTTTAACAAAGATTTTACAAAATGCAGTTCATTGCCAAATAAGTTTTACAGGCAAAAAAAAAAGTGAAACTTGATCATCTTGTTTCCATTGTAAGCTATTGTAGCACTTGTCATACTGTACCATAATTATTGTTAAACAGGCCTCTCTTTATTCTTGTGCTGTGCTATCGTAGCCCCAAGTGGCCACTTAAATTTAAATCCGTTAAAATTTTATAAAAAGTTCAGTTACTCAGTTTTACTAGCCACGTCTCAAGTGCACAGTGGCCAGATGTGGCTGGTGGTTTACTGGATTGGACAGTGTAGATGCCCTGCATTCCTGCCGTTGTCAGGAGTGTTGCCCTGTCGAGTGTTAGATGGTATTCATTTTCTCACTGTGATCATTTCATTGGGCCTCCCTCGTGGCTTAGTGGGTAAAGAGTTTACCTTCAGTGTATTAGAGATAGGAGGAGTGGGTTCAATCCCTGGGTTGGGAAGATCCCCTGGAGAAGGGCATGGCAATCCACTCCTGTATTCTTGCCTGGAGAATCCCATGGACAGTCCAGAGGGTCATAAAGAGTCAGACACGACTAAAGCACCTGAGCACACATAGTAAGTTTAGTAAATCTTTGCTGAATAAATGCTGTGATTAGTTAAGTATTTTATAGGAGCTAAATTTTTAGGGAAGTCCTTTTTGGGGGGAATTTGTTATCCAAATGACCACTAAGCTTTTTAAGCCAAGAATATGGTAAGCATGAATTGGGTGGCAGAACTAAGGATTGCTGTGTTTAAGAGCACTTAAGCTTTTAAGTAAAGCAGACCTACTTTTCTGACTCAACTTAACTTTAGATTGTGGCTTTAGGGAAGTTACTAAACCTCTCAAGCCTTAGTCCCTTCTTCTGTAAAATGCACATGATATTTTAGAATGAATCTTACAGCAAGGCAGTGTGCTTGGGTTAAGTGGTGATTGAGGGAGTGCTGACATTTAAAGGATTTGGAAAAGAGCCATTATGAGATACTTACACATATTGTGACCTCACTAAGAGGCTTTTTATATGAGGCAAGTGTTTGAAATCAAAAAGGCAGGAACTTAGAAGAGATCCTATTTATAATTTTTGAAATGTCTGTTTTAGGAACTAAATTCTGCTGACTCTTTTTAGCACAGTTGTTTCTCTGATATGTTGTTATATTTTTTTAGACCCTCAACTTTGTAGAGCATTCCATTAGTTGCAAGGAGAAATTGAATAAAAAAAATAAAATCGGAGCTGCCTTTACTGATGATGGCTTTGCCATGGGTAAGCTTAATGAAATTCTTTTCCCATGAATTTTGTGTTTACCTTACAATGAATTTTTCGAAATGTTTGCTTGAGAATAGATCTATGTGCTCTTTGTAGATTTGTTTTTCACAAGCTGTGTGTGTTTACTGTTTACTTTTTAGCTGGGTCATCTGGTTGGTAATATTTGTTTCCCATCATTTGTACTGTTCATGCTCCTTTGGTGTTGCTGATCACTTGGGTTAATTATTTAGGCTTTGTTTTTGTTGTAGGTTTACAGTTTGACCATCTTTTATTTAGTTTCTCTGGTTTCCTTGTAGTTTCCTCACTTGTTGTCTGTTTAGCAGTAGAACCAGTCTTACAGCCCTATGTTATCATTAAGTGACCTTCTATCTTCATAGCCATATTATTTCTTTTTATCTTCTTGATTGGCTTTTAAAAAAAAATTTCTTTATAGGATCACATCTTTTTAAGGAGGAATTAAGCCATGTTGCTAAACTTTTCATTTGTGCTGTAAAGTGTAATTGGAAAGAGGATTAATTTTAAAACAGTTAATTTTAAGAATTATTGGTAGAGTAAAATACAGTTTCTGTACACATTGTAATTTGATTTTGGTTTTGCTGACGACTCCAGGGGTGGCTTACATTCTGAAGCTTTTGGATCAGTACCAGGAATTTGACTCGCTTCACTGGTTCCAGTCTGTTAGAGAGAAATACCTGAAGGAGATGAGAGCAGTTGCTAAGCAACAGAATGTACAGTCAACTAGTCAGGATGAAAAACTACTACAAACCATGAATCTCACTCAGAAACGACTGGATGTTTATCTGCAGGTAGAGGAGAATAATAGTCAAATCTGGTTTGACTTTTTAATACCCATTACTTCTTGATCACTGAAAAAATGTCAATCATATTGAAACTCCCATTTTAATAGGTGAGATGAATAGTGGTCATAAAGAGTATATTTTTAAATGAATGATACTGGGAAGCCATTTGACTCATATCTTTAAAAATGGATGGATTGCTTAGTTCAGTTTCTGTATTTATGATTTGCACTCACTAGAGCATTTTAGAAAATGAAGAGATATTAAATATGGTAATTTTGATATTTTGCTCAAATAAGTATTTTAAACTTTTATTTCTGATATTTTTATTTACTTAGGAATTTGAATTGCTGTATTTCTCACTGAGCAGTGCAAGAATTTTCTTCAGGGCTGACAAGACTGCGGCTGAAGAAAACCAAGAAAAGAAAGAGAAAGAAGGTTAGTGAGTGGCTTTTATTTGGAAAGACTAGTAAATCTTTCATCAATAATAGATATGAATACCCCGTATCTAGTCCAGATCTACTATTTATACCCCAAATCTACTATTTATCTAGTCAGACTTTTCTTTTTGAAAAAATATGTAAACCTAGAAATGTCCTTTTTTTTTTTTTAAGGTAAAGCCTAAGTGGATCATTTGTGAAACTGAAAAGAAATTTAACATGCATTTCATTCTGGAATAACGCTTTATTCAGTTCATCTTTTCAATTTAAAATTTTACAAAGTTTGGGTTTTTTCTTTTGCCCTTTAACTGTTAGCAGATGAGAAGGAACAGATAAGAGGAGACTAAGTGCCGCTGAGGGCAGGTCTGCTGATGACTAGATGACTGAAGGCCTGGGCAGGTGACTCGGGGCGTGGAACGGTCAGGACTGTTTCAGAGTCAGGGTGATAGCTCCGGTGCTCCTCTATGGCCTTGGAGAGTCAGAGCGGTCCAGCCGTAACCACTGACGGCCACTGAGGAGAGGTTCTGTCCGAGACAGTCTGTGTGGGTGTAAATCCTTCAGTATTTGTATTTAAGGGACCCTCGTGACCGTTCCTCTCAGATTTGAAATTTAGCATTGATTGTTTTCTCTGAAAAATGGTGATTTCCTTTTTTCTGTTATGGAAGTTATGCCACGTAGGCTTCCTCTTCGGAAACTCAAAACTGGGGNGGGACCCTCGTGACCGTTCCTCTCAGATTTGAAATTTAGCATTGATTGTTTTCTCTGAAAAATGGTGATTTCCTTTTTTCTGTTATGGAAGTTATGCCACGTAGGCTTCCTCTTCGGAAACTCAAAACTGGGGACAGCAACTTAACAGGTTTCACATTTGCTCTGTTCCCTTTTTTCTTGTATTTATTTCACTAATCAAGAATAAAAGAACTTCATGAACTGTGATACTTTTATTAATCTTACCAGTTAAATTTTTAAAATATATATTTCACACTGAAGAGAGATCATTCATTTCAGTAGACCACTTACATCCATTACCTTATTCCCTATTGATAATGTTACATATAGCAGTATTACTAGCATATGCAGGCATTTTTGGAATCTATACTAAATAAGTATTGATAATTGTGTGCTTGAAAAATGATTTCAGGTTGTTGCCTGGAAGGTAATCAGTATTTATTAAGTGAAAAAATACATATTTATTACTTTGGGGCTCATTTAAAAATAATATTTAGCCAAGTCATCTGGAAGAATCTGAGTCAGTGTAATCTAAACTGTGAAGAGTTTAGTAACTGAAGTGTGAGTTCAGTTTAGATTGGAGTCTAAGAGTTTAGATTCAGCAGTTCAGTCACTGCAGGACATAGGCTGTGCTCAGGCCCGTCATGATGCCAGGACCTTGTCTGCCGGTGGGCTGGATGTTTAAGGCCTAGAGCATTAAGACAAAATGAACATCGCAGCCTCAGTAGAGCTCCTTGCTCTGGACTGCTGTTCTTGAGGAGCTCTCTGGGGTTTGGGGTTAATGTATTTCACCCGTATATCTGCCTGATGCCTCGGTGGTGGCGCTGCTGTAGGGCTGTTTTAGCTCAAGGTTGCTCAGAGTTGCTAAATATATTAGCTAAATAGTTTTTCTCTGTTAATGAAGTATATGCATATGACATTTTTCACTAAAAGTCAGAAATTCATTTTATTATATTCATAATAAAAAATCACATTTAAAAATAAATCATAAACATAATTGGGAAGGTATTCATTCTGGACAGTTTTATATGTGAATTTGCAGTCATGTTTTTACCAGTAACAGCCCTATGATTTCCTCGCCCAGGTGGGACCATGCAGTGTGAAACCAACCCCACTCCAGACACAGTTCTGATGTCTCAACAGTTCCACACCCCCATTTCAAACTAGTCAGAACATCACATTTGCAGTATTTAGCCTAGAGTTCTAAAACATGAAGGTAGATAAACTGTATATAATTTGTGATATTAGAGAAATATTTGGTAGATGCAACATTTTGTTCATTTGAAATTTAGCAGTATTGTCCTTGATTTTAGTTTGTAATTTTTTGTTTTTTTTTTAAATGAACATAAATATGTCCATTTTCACTCATGCTTTCAGAAGAGACTAAAACAAGCAATGGAGACCTGCCCGACAGCACTGTGTCTGCAGACCCTGTTGTCAAATGATACTGATGGTGTGCGTTGCCCCTGTGAGATCATCAGAATCGTATGTGAAGTGGATGTTATAAGCTAATAACAGAGTGTTTCCTGGGCTGCATCTCTGGGAAACATTTAGATGCTGCATCTCTCTAAGGCAGTGCTCTAAAGTGAAGTCCATTCTCCGTCTAAAAGCTGTACTTTTCGAAGGTTGAGAATGAGATTTTAAAATAAGATTTTTTTCTTGGACTTTAGGCTTGATATGCCTGCTTGGGAAACCGGTGTTTGAAATGAAATGTTAGAGGGGTTTACCCACATTCCTAAACTGCCACCTCAGATCTCTTATAATCTACATGAATGTTTATAATTTGTATTTGCATAGGTCTTTGGTCCGTATTTGTCTCAGTCATTGGAAATTCAGTGCATATACTATGTTCAGCCAGTAAATATGTTTAAACAAAAGGAATTGAGCCTGAAATTCATGAAGCATACATACCAATATTCTTATAAAAGGGATATATGAAGATGGTATTGATACTAGAGGTGAGGCACTAGTGTATTCTTTATGTACAGTGTGAACTGGTTCATTGTTAATTTCATGTGACTCACAAGAGCTGCTGCTGTCCAGTGAGAAATTTTATAACTCGTTTACATTGCTTTGAGAACTTATTTAACCTCCAACAACTGCTTTAAATTTAAGATTTACTTAATACTCAAGATGGAGGAAAATACAGATAAAGCCATAGATTCCTGCTTGACGCTTTACATTTGGCTGAAGGCATATTTATACCAGAGAAAACTGAATGAATTCTTACTTCTACATCCAAACTCAGGTTTCTTCTACATTAGGTTCAGTTGAAGTCTTGGTGATGGTTTGGGCAGATTTTTTTTCTTTAAACCAAGTATAATCTAAGAAATCAGATTTAGCACTGTGCAGGCTTTAAAAAAATTACCACTGTGAGAATGAAGTTCTAAATAACTAAATCATTTACTGATTTAAAAAGTACAGAAAGATTTAGAGTAAATTTAGTTCCGGACAAGCAATTATTAGCTTTATTTTTGTAAAGATTATATCAGTTAATAGTAAAACAGTTAATCATGGCCTATAATATTTTAATATAATGATACCTTTACAGTGAAAACAAAGTTTGAAATTTTACATGTAATACTAATGTTATTTTAGGAAATACTTGATTTTTCCATTGCACTTGCGCATAAAGCATTTCTTTGGGTAAATTTTGGGAGTAATTCTAACATTGTTTGATTTCCAGCTTTTGGAATGGGTGTACAATGCCCTGTCTGTTCTCATTGATCACAGTCAGGGTAGCTTTCCCAGCTCAAAATAAACATTTTCACTGTTAAAATTCAGAAGAAACAGAATAGGTAGGAAATGTTTTTTATTGTGTCAACTTGACTTACAGAATTATGTACAATGGATGGATTAAAGACATTTAATATTTGTAGTTCATACTAACTGTAGAAATGGCCCTGAAGCATGCTGCATAATTAATAATTTATATTTTCATTATCATCAATGTTTATAGTAATGATCTTGCATTTGACTCTCAAATTAGTCACCATTTCATAGCAACAGTATTATTTTTTTTGTTTTTCTTCTTTAACTTCCCTAAAATTATTTCCTTTAATAGAAATTCTAATTAGAAGATAATCAAAGGTTTCTGTCATTTTCCCCACATATGTCAGTTATTTTATCCATACTAGATGGAGGTCACATGCTGACTCCTTGGATACCTATGATTACAAAAAATGTGACAGATCAATATTTTACCTTTAGTTCAAAATAATGTCACTGCAGACTGGATAGGGTATAATAAGTTTACTTATTTGAAATAAAATCTCTGAAAAAGATTAAGCATATTTAAATGCTGTTAGAGTGCAGAGCAACAGGGCTGAGTGTTCTCACACCTAAGTTAATGTACACGTTTAGATGACGGTTTTCCTTGCCAATGTATTAATGTTAACATTTTCATTTTTTTCAGACATACTGCAATTTAAAATTTGTGTAAGCATTTGTTGTAAATTCACAGAAAACTTAATGTTCAAATTCTCAGGAATTAAGGACTAACCATAACATTGTCAATTCTAATTAGATTTTATAAAAGATGGTAAGTTTGTTATCTCCCTTAAGTGGGGGCTTTCCTCTCCCCCAGTTCTAAGAGAATACAATATGTATAATAGAACATTAATAAATGCAATTTCCAAAATTTACTTCCTTTGGATGTTTGTTCAGAATTGAATGTCTTAAACCAGTAGTTCTTACTCTTTCTGGAGTTCCCTTTAATAGTATGTGGAAATGTCTTTTAAACAAATACTTGCATGCATGTAGGCAAGAAATTTCAAGTATAAAATTGACATTGGCTCCTCTGTGTAGCCCAGGTGAACTTTTTGTTTTCTTTCCTTTTTATATTTTTAATCTTTCTGTTGCTTGCTGTTTTCAAATGAAAGAACCCAAATGAATGTGTAATTTTAAATCTTACTCCTGGGGAGGGATCATTAATCTGTGGTGCTGTAGTGCCATTTGCAGTCATGACTTGGACTGGACAGTATAATAAAGAAGAGCATTCTAAATGCTATGCTGGAAAAAATGTTCTGCTTTTCTCTTCTGAGGTGGTAAATTTGTAAGGTTGTGGGAAAGCTGAGACAATAGCATCACATACATTGTCCCCTTACTTTTTTATGCTGGACTGGCCAAATATAAATGGTGGACTTTAGCCAGTTTTAATAATTTTAGTTCTTTTTCCAGCTTAAGTTGCAGAAGTTTCAGACTGATGGTATTCCTTAAGAGATTTAATGCTACATTTTTTTGTTTGTTTGTTTTTAGATGTTAGGACAATTAAAAGTTTAGATTGTCACAGATTTGTTATAAAAGGGGAGTCCAGAATAAGTGGGTCTGTAGCTATTAAGTGAAGTCATAGAAGTGTGCCGTGATGGTGATGACAAATGAGAGTTTAGTTTATACAGGAATTTCTTATAGGAAAGGTTGATTTGGGCAAGTATATGGATATTTTCCTCTATTGTAATAGTTTGGTTCTTCTTTATCACCTAGTTTACCTAATAGCACTGCTTGTTCCCATGAGTGGAGAACATACTCGGGGAAAATATGTGAAATTTCTCTCTGTGTAGATCTGATGTCATAATTCTGGAGTCACTTTTAAGGTGTACATTCTGTAATGTAAGATCTTTGTGTGTATTGAAACATTTTCTCATAATGCCATCATTAATCATTAATGTGAGGGGCCAAAAAGTTAACACTTCTATACCCAGAATCTCCTGTTTATATAAAGGTGGTAGAATTACAGTAAACATTTCAGAATCTGTACAAAAGGTAATAAGGCATTAAAGATGCACTTTTAAGTTGATGCAATTACTGAATATCAGAATCTTCAGAGATGACTGCATTGGAACATTTGGAGGTTGCTTTGTCTCTGGTTTTCTGTCTGCTAACAGTATAGCAGAAGCATAGATTCTGGAACCAGGAGTGATTTGAATCCTGAGTTGCCGCTTACAAGTTTACTTATCTTCTGTGCTTCATTTCCTCAGGCCTAAAATGGTGTAATAACATTGTTCATAGATTGAGGATTTAGTTAGTATGTATAAAGCCATTTTATTAGGAAACAGTAACTGCTATAAATACTGTTACTATGGTTGCTCCTATGGGCAGAAATGTACTTGGCATGTAATTATTAGCTGTTGAAAAGTCTGAAGATAAGCAGTCTGTATTTGACTCTCTGTTGGTCTCATAAAATCTTCCTTTTTAAATAGCTCAGTGGAGCGTTGACAGCGTGAGACAGGTCTTGCTCCTCCCTGAAGCTGGTCTGACAGGTGCCAGTGCTGCGAGATGCAGTTTGGTGAGGCTAGCTGCCTAATAAAAGGTCTCATTTTCCTCCTTCCCACCTTTTATTTACATGGCACTTGTGAATTTTTCAGAGGGCTTTCCTATGCATTAATGCACATTTTAGTTGAGAGAAAGGGAGTCACCCACTGTTTCTGAATTTAAAATATTTAAAAATCTGATACCTGCAAAAACATATCAGTATGTATGTACTATTTAGTGCCTGAGAAGAGAATGCCTGTGTAGCCACCAGGTGGGTTATGAGCTTACTACCTCAGACGCCCCCATTATTCCTACAGTAACCCCTTTTCTACTGCAGAGGAAGCCACAGGGCACTGCGTTTTTCTTGAAAGTTATTAATACGGTGATGTTTGTGTTATTTTTTAAAGTTAAATGTATTCTCTGTGCTTATATGACTCTAATTCAGTATCACTTTTGAAATTCATCCACATTGATGTATATAGATCTAGTTCATTTAGCTTTATTTCGCTCATCCTGGATTACATGAATAGAGAGATTTAGTCTGTTGATAAGATCTGGGTTATTTCCAAATTTGGGATAGTGTGAATAGCGCTGCTCTAACCGTCACTACTTGTCCCTGGGAACGTGTGTGGAGTGTCCCTGGGCTGTGTCACAAGTGAACCTCCGTGGTGGCAGGGCCAGCTGTGCCTGCAGGTTCATTGGAAGAGAATGCCAGGCTGTCGTCCCATCCCAGAAGTGGGCGAGGTGACTCCCATTCCCTGCCAGGAGCTGGATTTCTGCAGTCTGGTCAGTATCGTATCTGTGTGGTTTTAATTTGCATTTCCTTGATTTTTATATGATTGGACATATTTCTGTTTGAGTCTTCTTTTTCTGTGAAATGTTTTCATGACTTTTTTAAAAATTAGTTTCATCTTTACTGGATACATACGGTAGCTCTGTTTCATCTTTTAAGGAACTTCCAAACTATTTTCCATAGGCTATACATTATTAAAACTTTTTAATTAAAAACATTGATTTTTATTGTTTTATTATGTAGATATTTTATACCCTGAACGGTTCTAAGCAAGAATTCAGGGGGCTGTGGCTCTTGAAGCTTGTCAGAATTTACTGAGCTATGAGCTGCTATGGTTATGCTATGATCTTATGGTGTATAATTTCATACTGTTTTGACCAGCTGACTGTGTTTCTGATGGTGGCGGTTTAATTTTGAGTTACAAACGTTTTATTAATCCATTTTAAAAGCAGCACGTTTAAAAAGTTGGCCTTGATCATGTTATTCTGCTTAACCTCACATAGTACCTACCCTCTGCTGTGATTTCATTGTGTTTTTAATTAACTGTTAAAGCTACAGAAACAACTTTAGTTTTCTTTCATGGATGTTGTAGAAAATAACCACAAAAAGAAACAGAATGATAGTTTTTATTTGCTAGCATTTATTGCTAGATTAATTTATTACAAAGACAGCTGTATTTCTGTTGAACTTGGTTATAATTAAATACACTGTATCAATTAAAGATCATTATGCTTATTTCCTAATGGGCTAGGATGTCTGGAACCTGTGTGTCAGGGAACTTTTCTACCAAGCCCCATGGCCAGCTGTGCTTCAAGTGAGTTTAAAAGTTCATTGGTCCCTTCTTTAAGGAGGGTCTGGCTCAGAAGAAATAGCAGTTGGTAGAGCTGCACACTGTCCATGGTGCTCCACCCCTAAACAGCACCTGAAGGCCCATACACTTCAAATGCTGGCTCATTAAGGTCCACTGTAAAATCAGACATCTTTTGTGGTACTTATCTGCTTGCCTTTTTATTGTGTGATGTTTGAACAATTACCAAAACTAGACCTGCGTTTCTGCTAGTGCTCAGACTTCAAAGCACAGGGCTCATCACCTGACTGCACAAATTAATGCTGTTAGGTCGAAATGATGAGACAGACTTGATTATAAACAGACCAATTTCAGAATGACAGGCACTTACAGTTTCATTAAAATACAAAAATAGATTATATTAATAGGAAATATTTAGTGTCTATCAAATTATAAATCTAGACTTTTACCATCTTTTTTTAAAGGATACTGGAAACTGAAAAGAGATGACATTGAAATAAAGTGAACAGTGTATTTTTTTCATAGCTTTCATTCTGAGCACTGAACAATGCAATCTAAGAAAAGGACTTACCACAAAGCACCTAAAATAACATTTGTAGATGGGTATGTTGTCAACCATTCCTTACTGTTTCCCTCCCAAGTCTCAGTACCAAGGCATCAAGAGTACATTCCACAAGCGATTGTCAGCATTCTGAAACCAGGTGGTGTGCCTGTATGTATCAGAGAAGTTGAAAACCCTTAAGGAGGTAGCTCTCCTTCCTGGGTGGTCTTCACCCAAAGGCGCAAAGAAGTTATGCTTCAGATTCTGCGCCTCTATTTTCACTTGGACTTCCATCATTGTCATCTGGTTGATCGTTTAATAGTACATATTTTCCATCATTGGTTAGTGGTATGGACAGCATTAACTGAGCCAGTGCTTCTGGATCCTGAAGTTACGAGAGTTTAAGAAGGAGAAAAGAAAACACTTAAAATGCACTTAAAACCCCTTTCGTTTGGCTGTCATTATATTCTGTAATCTAGCCTCATTTCTTCTGACTCTTGTCTTAGGTATGCCTTCTTGCATCTCTTAAAAAAAAAAAACAAACCACACCTCAATTGTTATTACTTCTCCCAAAAACTAGGCAAAGGTTCTACCTGTCAGCCAAAATATCATTTACATAGCAAACTCAGAATCATTTTGTGGAAGAGTCCAGAGCGGAATTTCTTTCACAGCCCGGACCGCTGTCTTTAAACTCCTGTTTTTCCTTTTACTCTTATTTCCTTTTACCAAGAAGTGCCAACTATGGCCGTTTGGCTCACCACTTGTTTTTGTCACGTTTTACTGGAATATAGCCATGCCAGGTCATTTACGTACTATGGCTGCTTTCGTGTTACAACAGCAGAGTTGGGTAGTTTGGCAGCAGAGATGGTGAGCCTGGACAGGTTTATCATCTGGCCCTGTATAGAAAGTTTGCCAACTCTGACCTACACCATAAAATACAAACTTGCCGCGAGTGCTCTTTTTTCATCATGTTGGTCCTAGACCTTGACCTGCCTGCCCTCCCTGATGGAGTAGAACTGTACAAGTGTGATGCCCACTAGCTACACACTACTATTTACATTAGGTAAAACTAAAAATTTCAGATCCAGTTCCTTAGTCACACTAGCCACATTCAATCTGCATACTAAACAGACCGTCTTCGTTACTACAGAAAGTTTACAGCAAGTTTTGCGGGGCAGTGCTCAACTAGAAGCCCCTGGGGGCAGGAACTGTCTCTGGCTCACTGCTATAACTGCAAGGATTTTTCTTACACAGAATTTGCTCTCAAAAATTAGTTGGCTAAATGAAAGATGATAAACTACTGATAGAGAGGTCTGTGAGTCTTCACTTCCAGTTTCCAGATAACATCTCAGTGTTGCTGCGCCTGTGACCACTCTGGGGGGTGAGGCCTTAGCGCACACGGCAGATACTGGTTGGTGTCGTTTAATCTGAAACAGGAAACCTAGCCAACCACCGCAGGAGCTGTAGCCGTGGTATTTGTTAGCAACGCCACGTGTTTCCAGTGACAGAGGAACCAGCTGATCAAAAATGCTTGACACACAGAAGGCCTAAAAGGAAGCCCCAGATGTGGCCACCCTGCCTACTGAGCATTGTTTTTGAGAGAAAGGTAAGT